GAGTCTCTTTTCTCTAAAAAAACCCCCAAAAAAACACCAACATGGCAGCACTGCTTACGTTTGCAAGGTTGTATCTGAACAAACCACAAGACTTCTGGAACAATGTCCTTCAGACAGAGAAGTGCAGCTTTGGTGCTAACAGTAACACTTTTGGAGAAAAGCGAACACAGCACATCGGGACACACCTCATAACAACTATCAAGCACGGTGGTGATGATTTGGGTTTGTTTTGCAGCCACAGGACCTGGACACCTTGCAGTTAACCATTAACTCCTCTGTACACTGAAGTATTCTAGAGACAAATGTGAGGTCATCAGGCCTCACATTTGTCCTAAAGCTTGGACGAAACTGGGTCATTCAACAGGATAATATTCTTAGCATATGTATGATATAATAGCTGAAAAAGAAAAGAATTAAGGTGTTTTAATGGCCGACTCAACCTGACTCTAATCCTGTGGCAGAGCTGTGCATGAGCATATACACATTTTAATGAACTGAAGCAATGTGGTACAGAAGAGTGGACCAAAATTCCTCCACAACCATGTGACAGAGTGATGGAGTCATGCAGAAAGCATTTTTTTCAAGTTATTGCTGCTAAAGGTCATTGAACAGGTTACCAAATCATTGGGTATATTAAGTTTTGCACAGGACTTCACAGAGTCCAATAAAGGTCACGGGCTGCGACGGCAGACCGTGGAGTTGCAATGAAAGTAGGGCCCAAACGCAGACTTTTAGTGAAGGACAGTGGATTTATTGACAGGGGGTGGAAAACCCACAACTATATACAAAATCCAGGCACTGTGGTCCTGTGGCGATTCTCCCTGAATCCCAGACAGTGCAGATGTCCGTGAAAGGTGAAAAGTGGCGACTCCAAAACACTCCTACACCGTGACTTCAAAACACACTCCGCTCCAGATTCCTGGTAACACAAACACATTAAGGTTAGCAGGACATCTATTATCTCGAAGGTTTATACAAAAGTCCACGGCTGTACTGACGCGCTCTGACTCAAGAATCCAGTGTCGGCCTCAGCTCAGCTGCAGTCTTAAATACCGCTCCCTTGATGAGCGTAATCTGCTGCAGCTGGCAGAGGAGGACGAGCGGCAGGTGTGGCTGTCTCGAGTGAAGAAACACTTCCGGGTTTGCAGTCTCCTCAGCGAACCAAAACATCCAGAAGCTCACACGGAGAAACCAGGAGAAAAAAGGAGAGAAAATCAAAACACCACACGGAAAATATAAACATAAATATACACTAAAATACATGAGCCCTGGGTCCCTAGACCCAGGCCATGACAGTAAAACCTTTTTGTCACATGACTTAGAGTACTTAATTTGTAAATATTTGGCTTAGCTGTTGTTAAAAAACAACGATAGAGTATAACATATTTCACAGTTGATCTGAGGTTGTATTTACCAAACTTTAAGGCTTCTTAACGACCAGATGATCTTTATTATGTTATAATTAATTGAATAATAACATTATTTGTCTGTGAAGGTTTTCAGTCGTCCAGGTCGTTGTAGTCCAAGGAGCTTGCAAAGAAAAGTACTTAAGTACTTAAAAAAGTCCAGACGCTTTTCTTTGCAAGCTCCTTTGGCCTTGAAGATGTTTAACCTCTCATCTGAGAAGCTTCTTTCTTTCTTTCTTTCTTTCTTTCTTTCTTTCTTTCTTTCTTTCTTTCTTTCTTTCTTTCTTTAATTATTCTCAGTTTTCATTCATCTGAGGTTGTATTTAATTTATTTTAAGACTTACTAATACTTACCAAAGATTTTACCCTGATATGTAAAACCCTACAAGTGAATGAGGCTGTACTTTCTGTAAGTAATTAGTTAATAGTCCACACATGCTAAAATCATGGTCAGGAGTTATAGGGGGTGAAAATCATGTTCTTTGGACTACTTTAGAGGAGAAATCATGATAACATGTCAGAAACTGCACAAAATGTAAGCAATTATAAAGTCCGGGCATTTTTAGCGATTTGTTTTTCCACTTCACAGGATTTTTGTTGGATAAGAGAAAAACATCCCAGGGTTATGTTAAAAATGTGTTCAACAGCTGTAAATAAACATAGAATGAACTCTAGTATCCCCAGTTTCAACAGCTAGTCTTAAACCCTCTCTTTAGAAAACGCTGCCTCTGCTCTACCATGCTAAGTGCTACCATATTAGTCGATTTCTGGGAGAAGTAGGAGTTGTGGTTTTTTCCGTCATAACTTTCATGGCAGACACTGTTAGAAGCTGGGCTTTTTAAAAAAAAATTTTATCTTTCAGTGATTATAAAGCAGTCTCTAAGCAGCATTAAAGTGGAACATTTATACGTCTTAAATTAGGAGAAATGCAGGATGAGGCTTTATTTTCTGCTGAAAAGAAATGTTTTAGAGAGTGTTGGTATGTTCACAGATTCAAAAAGCAATGCATTACACTTTATTATAATCAATCCAGGGTACAAAACCAGACAACCAAAGTTCAAAAGCCTCATTTCAGGGGAAATGCAGTGGTAGCTTGACAGTTAGAACACAACGTGATGCTACAAAAGAGAGGAAACAGTTACAGGTTGTAGCTGCCACCCCTATATACTTGGAAAGCTGGTGTAATTAAGTTGTCTTCAGGGTCTCTGGCCCTCATTAAAACCCTTTCAGATATGTGATAGAACGGAAGAAAGAACTGATGGCTTTTATTGGCGACTGACTGTTGTGGTCTCAGGGATGAAATCTGCCACGGACTGTCCAGAATTATAAAAAACAGGATGGAGACAACATCCTCAGAGGTGATACGCACTGTCTGGAAGCCCATGCGGAAATTAATGAAAAGGGAGAATCAGACTTCTGAATTGCTTTTGGCTCTGAGCTGTCAGTCACATGGAAAACTGGTTTATAGGGGATTTTTTTTTTTTTTTTTTATTTTTTTTGCTTCTTTTCATGTTGCTGAGAGACATGTTTGACATGACACACGTTATGTTATCACACATGCAAATGTCATTTTGTTATCAATGGTGTAGCTTCCCAAATCCTAGCTGTAGGCCTGCTTTGATGGATTTTGTCATAAAAACACACTTGATGTGCAGTTCGTTCATCTGCATTTTAATGAAGATGAGTCTATAAGAAGAATAACAGATAAAGAACTGGTGGCTCATCACTAAAAAGAAGTTCAACATTAATTCAAAAACTCCACATAGAGATATAACAGTGCTTCAGTATTGCAATTTGATAGTTTTTTGAAGATGTATAGCTCAGCAAAAAAAAAAGTATACAGATCAGTGAAAATGAAAGAAACAGTTCAAGAAAAATAGCTTTTATAGATAATGAGTAACGCAGTGTCATGGCATTTTCATTTGATGCAAGGTTATTGTTTTTCTTCTAAATTTCACAGTAGTTGAAAAAACAAACAAAAAAAGGATTACTAGGATTAACTTCAAAACTTTCATTTAAGGCTTTGGTGATAGAGTGCTTCATACGTTCTTGTATACTATTGTATTTCAGCTGAAACACACAGGAAATCTTTTATAAAAAGGATGAGCAGACATACCTCAACAGAAATCTGGAGCATGAGAGTACACCGAGAGCGTCAAAGCACAGTGTCTAGCTTTCAAATAATGTAAGAATTAGTAATCTGTGACAGAACACTTGCAACAAGGCAGATAGTGCTTGCAAATAGAAATGTGTTTTATTTTATATACATATGCACAATACTGTATACAATTCTAATACGTTTGAAAGTCAGTATTTGGTATGGCCATGGTCATACCAAATACTGACTTGAGACATGGATCAAGCATCTCTCCCCTCTGGGGAGGCCAGTCCATGACTAATAGTGTTTCATTGTGTGGTTTTCAATCGAGGTATGTGTTTACTGCATTTGCAGTATGTTTAGGATCACTGCATTTCTGAACACTGAAAGTATTGACAATTTTATTTTTTGAGATGTTGCTACATAGTGGATGTGATGGTTCCTTTCTGCATTTATAATTACATCCAAGTCTGAAATATCTTCTTTTGTCCCCCAATTTTTTAGCTTCCTCAGTTTTTTTGCCATGCCAATATGTACCAAGTTTTCAGCCAATAGATCTTTGGGAATCACCTTGTCAGTGCCAATGAATATAAAACTGTGTTATATTTGGCATTTTTTGTAGATTCAACCTAAGAAATGTTGTACTTTTGCAACAGGCTGCTAGTAGCAAAGTGTGTGAATATGCAACTGTTAAATCTGTTCTTTGCTAAGTATCATGTGTGAATGAAACACCGGTTGGAGTTAAGTGTCATTTCGATGCCTGAATTATTTACAGGTTGGTGTTAAGTGGCTTAGCAAACAAACAAAGATTCAAACAGGTAATGAATTAAAGAAAAAAGCCAACATGAAGTGTCTTACTGTTGTGTTTCACTACCATGTGTCATGGGAATAGCTTCCCTGCCCCCTGGCCTTGATTTGATATCTTAAGTACTGCAAGAGGAAAAATATGTAACATTTATCCAAAACACAACTGCTCAACATGTTGGTCCCAAATCTCCCATAATTATTCAGATGATATCAGGTTATTACAAAGACCATAACATTTCCATCACAGCATTTTTGCACTTATTGAAAAATAATAGTGTCCCTCGTGGTCTAAGGATGAGGTTATTGTCTTGCACATGTCCTATCAAGTTAACTATATTTAATTATAGGATAAAAATGAACAGTCAAATAGACTTAGTATTGATTGGGTTTTTCCTTTATAAATCGTGTACACTGCAGTCTTGTTGCCTTTGCGCCATATATATTTCAACAGTGACATCTTTCGGCCACTGTGCGCGCTGCAGTCAACACTCCGGTTTCGGATACTATCTTCGAGGATATTTAAACTTCTTTTGCCTTGGTTGGGTGTCGTTTTGTTTTATTTAACTCTATATTTGTGTAAGTTACGGTGGAATAATTACCGAGTAAATTCAACACAAAGAGTGCTTTAAACGCTTGTTGTAAAGCGACAGTGGGTAAAGTAAAAACGTAAGCGAACGCAGCCCTCCCTCCCTCCCTTCCTGGGTCACATGCTAGTCGAGCCAGATCAGCTGACATCACCCAGCTTCTCTTTTTGATTCTCTTCTTCCTCCATCGACTGATAGCGCTTCGTAAAACTGCATTATATCGCTACCTGGGCTGTACTGGCATCAGATTTGAAATTTGGGCCAAGTAGATCTCGCTGATCCAGCAGGTTAACCCGGTGGGTAGATGCTACTAGAGTGGATGATGAACGGACACGCCATTCTTTACACGGGGGTCACTTTGGCCTTCTGGAGCACCATACTAATCGTTGGTAAGGTTTTATTTTACAGGAAAATGCCTAATAATAGCTAAATGAATGAATGAAAATATATATTTCATGTAATTTGCAGTAATGGTCGTGTATTTAATCGTTGTCTCTTCGTGACATTGTGATTTTATTGGTATGTTTGACAGCTGTACTTCAGGACCCGTCTAAATACTGGGATAGTCGATAGGTTAGTTAGCATATGGAAAAAATGGTTTACTAATGCATGATAAGAGGGATACATGAAAACCCAATTCGTTGTTGAATGTATTTTTAAAAAATCGCTGTGTGCTCATATTATATAAACAACACGGTTTAAGTTAGCATCTGGCTAGCATGCTGTTAGCTAAGGGTAGTTAGCTTACAGCGTACTCTCATAACAGAAATTTTCAGAGGTTTTAACGTTGGATGTTAGTGATTGTATTTTATTTTTATTAGTGTCACATCTTGTATGATTTGGAAATATTTTACCATGCTTGGATCGCTTTTCTTATTTTAGTTTGAAGTCGTCTGTTTGCGCCGTGCTAAGGTTAGCCGTCTAGGTGTTTTTGTGTCCAGCTGACTGTGCTGAGTAGGAACTACAGTGGTTTTCACGTGAGTGTGAGTGGTCACACCGAAGCTGCAGCTTCTTTTAGAACAGAAGTGTGACTGTGTTTCACGCAACCTGCAAAACACAAGATTACTCATGCAGAAATACACACGGGTCGACTAAATGGCTCATCTTTAAAGTGTTACCGTGTTTTTCCCACATATGCCTAAAAATGACTGTCACTGTTTCCACAGGGATCTGCTACACTATATTTGACCTGGGATTCCGCTTTGATGTGGCATGGTAAGTATTCTTTGTACACAGCTGCTGTCTGGAGGTAAAGATTCATATATACTCTAAAATCATTAGTATCCGAGGGATAAAGTTAACGTGCTACACCATTTTTCTATAGGAAAGAGTTGTTGAAGGTAGGTTAAGAAGAGACGTGATGATCAGTTAGTAGCACTATGACTTAATGCTGAGAAAGAGCTGTACAGATGTTTGCTTTGTGACTGTTGATGGAGAATTATAGAGAAGGTCAGAGTGAGGTTCACTGTGGATCTCGAGAAAGCATATGATGGGATGCCAAGAGAGGAACTGTGTACTGCGTGAAGAAGTCAGGGTGGTGTAGAACATGTTTTAGGACAGCTAGACAGTGGTGAGGTGTGTCTGCTAGGAGTGACAGATGGCTAAGGTGGGATCAGGTATCCGCTCTGAGCTCCTCCTTGTCGCAGTGACAGATGAGATCAGACAAGAGTCTCTGCCGACTATGATGTTTGCATATGACATTGTGATGTGTAGTGAGAGTAGGTGGGGGTATGCTCTGGAGAGAAGAGGAATGAAGTTGAGTGGAAGCAAGACAGAATACATGTGAGGGTAAGTGAATGAGAGGGAGATGGGTGTAACGCTGAAGAGGTAACAGAGGTCAATGAGTTTAAATACCTGGAGTCAACCATACAAAGCAATGGAGTGTACACAAGAGAGGTGAAGAAGAGAATGCAGAAAGGAGGAGGGCAGGAGTGTCAGAGGTGATTTGTGACAGAAGGATAGCAGCACGAATGAAAGGGAAGATTTACAAGATGGTAGTAAGACTTTCAATGGTGTATGGTTTCAAGATGGTTTTCACTTAAAAAAAAAAAAAAAAAAAAAGACAGGTGGCAGAGTAGAAGATGTTAAGATTTTCATTGGGAGTGACCAGAATGGGCATGATTAGAAATGAGAGGACCAGCTCAGGTCAAGCAGTTTGGAGATGAAGTTAGAGAGGCAAGGCTGAGATGGTTTGAAAAAGGGGCAAATGGGGGGATATATTGCACAAAGGATGTTGACTATGGAGCTGCCAGGCAGGAGGAAAAGACGAAGATTTCATGGATGGAGACATGCAGAGGGCTGGTGTGACAGATGAGGATCCTAGGGATAGGGTGAAATAGAGGCAGGTGATCCACCTAAATTGGGCAACTGAAAGAATTAAGAAAGTGATGATTTTTGACCTTGTTTGACATCTAGTCTGTTGTTTTAGTTATATTTTATAAGTGGTTCTACCAGGAAAAATATTATATTGACATTCTGGGTAATAAAAGTTATAAAACAGCACTGCCCTTTCCCACATTGCACAATTGTAAATGTACAGAGACATGCCTTACAACATAAGCTAGTCTACGTTGCCTGTTTCCTCTTTGACAGATTCAGGTCCCGCCTTTTCCCTTTTTGTAGAGTGATAGTGAGGCACCAATCTGTTTCACTTGGCTGATCAGACATTTTCCAAGATAATTTGTATATGTTGAAAGTGAAAGTAACAGTGAATGTGTCACTGGAGACATTTTTGAGGTCTGTCTGTACTTTCCCCAAATAAATTTGGGATGTGAAAGAAACGCATGAAGTGGTTTCCATCTACTACTTGAAGAGGGCATAGCTTGGATTTATCCACTACAGGTATTTATTTTAACAGACTGTTGAGAAAAAGGTTAGAGTTTAAAACAGAGTGTACATCGTGTTTTAAAAAGGTTTTGCAAACAATGATGTTGTTAAAAAATTGAGGCTGAGTGAGCTTTACTTCTTTACTCGTAGGTTCCTGACAGAGACTTCTCCTTTCATGTGGGCCAATCTGGGCATTGGTTTGGCCATCTCGTTGTCTGTGGTGGGAGCTGCCTGGTAAGTAAGACTTCTTTAAGTGCATACTAGTATCCATGGCTGGCTATGTTTGATTACAAAACATGAGCATAATTTTACACAAAATGCCAAACTCTGTCAGTTGTCTTGTTTCAACATAAGAGGAGTAAAAAAAAAAGTGCTGTTCCCTAAAACCTTTGACCTTACTTTTTAAAACAACAGGTGTAAATGTAGAACTGTAAAATCTGAAACTGTGTGAAATGAAAAATAGATGTTTGGACAAGTTTCTTGTTTTGTATTCAGAGTTTTCGATTGTGAAATAATAAATTGCAGAAATTACACATAAAATACCACATTCACTCACTTACACAGCACTTCATTTTATGGACTTTGCACACCTATATATTTCACACACTAACATTGATCCGTTTTTTCGGGGCAGTTTGGGGTTCGTTATCTTAAAGAAGAATTCAAAATGTAGACTAGAAGACTCGGGAATCGAACCACAGATCTTCTGAGAATTCTAACCGAATTCCTTTAAAGCAGTTTCGGCTGAACAGCTGCAGGTAAAGGCCAGCTACAGCCAGTGGTCTGTGGGAAAAACCGCCACCTGCCGATCCACAGGTTGCTGGATTACAAAATGATTCCTGTGTTTGCTTAATAATTTTGATTTACACACTGAATAACTTATCTCTTCTGCATGATTGTCCTACACATTCCTGTCATTTGGAATTAATGAGAAATACATCGTCTTATTTGTTTTCACACATATTACCTACAAGTCTCTGGGCTGGCTGCTTATTTTGGATCAGTGTTCAGAAGCTTTATTTTCATTTAATCGCCTACCTTGAGCTCCTTTTTATTGTTTAGTATTTTATCCCATTAAGTGCATTAGATGAAAAATGTGCTGCCACTGTGTGTTGAAACGGATCCTTTTTACCTTGTTTTTGCATCATTACAAGTCTCGAGTGCATTGAAAACCATTTGGATCACAGAAGATGTGTATTTATACTACGTGTAAATGGGTCGTTTTAGAGTGAAGCTCAATAATGGTAGTCATTTAACTCATGCTGTGTTTTTATGCTTCTCCTGTTTCCATTTATACCAACTGTTGACTTTTCTGTAACATTAAAATGTTTTTGTAAGTGATGTTGTTTTTCTTTCCGCTTGTTTTCCTAGGGGGATCTACGTCACTGGCTCTAGCATTATTGGTGGTGGCGTCAAGGCTCCACGAATCAAAACCAAAAATTTGGTCAGGTAAGCCCCGTCAAAGAGAGCACTTGTCTGTTTTGTTCCCGTCAACAGCTGTACGTTGCTAAGAAGGGCATTCAGTGAATTATGGTTCCATCTAGCACCAGTAACATCAGTTTATTGCTGCAGGTCCAAAGCAGTGTTTTGCAGAGACAGTGACCCTTGCTTATTCTGTTTCTCCCTCTAGCATTATCTTCTGTGAAGCTGTTGCAATCTATGGAATCATCATGGCTATTGTCATCAGCAATATGGCCGAGGTAAGGAACACATTTTTGATGATTGAGGAAGCCTTTTTTTTAAAAAAAAAATTCATAAATGATGCTAGGAAGCCTGCACAGAGGACAGCGACACCTTGAAATTAAGCTGCAGTTGTAAGAGACAAAAACAAGTGAAATGTCATTGTAGAGCCCGGAATAAGGATTCTGAAATGATTTATTTCGTCTTACAGAACTTCAGTGGAACGACTCCTGAGACTATTGGGGCACGAAACTACCAAGCTGGTAAGAAAAGAGACTCCTGACTGAAATAGGAAAATCTCACCTTCAATTCTAGGGTTTTAAAAATAAATAATAATAATAACAATAATAGAATTTCAGCCCTGTTTATACATAGGCCCCCATTTTCAGAGGCTCAAAATTAACTGGACTGACAAGCAAGTCAGTGCCCAGGTGAGGCCTGTGCCCTTTTAATTTCATGAAGGATTAGGAGGACAAAAGATCCAGAGTTGATTTCAAGTGTTGACTTTGTATTTGGTAGCTGTTTACTGGAGATCTCAATATTCTGTTCAAAGAGAATCTATGCAAGCGAGGGTGTCATCATTAGGCTGAAAACAACCCCAAGCCAAAATAAACCTGTCATAGATGGAAAATTTTAGTGGGCAAATCTGCAATCTGGTTGAGTCTTAAAATTGGTAAATGGACTGGGTCTTATATAGCGCTTTTCTACTCTACCTGAGCAGTTTAAGCGGAGGTGATGTCCATCAGTTCCAGCCTTAATGAAGACGTTGCCTCCAACAGACTTTTATCAAAATATTACAAACCATCCTTATATTTAAAATCGTTAGCTTCATAGCATAAGTGCCTAAGTCATTTTTTGGTCAAATTGAAAATATCAATTAAAAATATGCATGTGATATTTAGAAAATTAGTTTTTTCTTGTTTTCCGAAAACACAAAAAAATGACTTAGGCACTTATGCTATGAAGCTAACGAAATGATAAAATGACAAAACTGATAAAGTGGTCAAAAATTGTGTTAAACCCGTGAATGAAAGCTGAAAGTCTGTACTTTAATGACATAGTGGTTGCTTGATTTGCTTGAAGTCCACTGTGGGGATGCACAGATTTGAAATTACTAAAACATCTGGACGTGTACTGTTGAGAACAGTAAAGAAAAGATATTTGCTGCATTCACTAAATTTTTTTTTTTTTTGAATAGTTTCACAAAATTTAACAGATAGTGAACATATTTAGGTTTCTGTAACTGTGAAGATGCTTCACAATAAACTCTTACAGGCTTATTTCAGAATCAAACAGGGAGCATGAATCTCGTAGACGACTCCATTGTGAGTTACTCAGGTTGAGCTGTGACTCATTTTGTTTTCTGTCCTATTAGGTTACTCCATGTTTGGAGCTGGTCTGACTGTGGGCTTTTCCAACCTCTTCTGTGGCATCTGTGTCGGCATCGTGGGCAGCGGAGCCGCTTTGGCAGATGCCCAGAACGCCAGCCTCTTTGTGAAGATCCTAATTGTGGAAATCTTTGGAAGTGCCATCGGCCTGTTTGGTGTCATTGTAGCTATTCTGCAGGTAAATACAGTTTTTTGCAAGCCTTTACCCTTCATCTTTTGCCTCACAGGAGAACAACGGCCACATAGCACAAACTGAAGTTTTTAATTTCACTTATTAATTATTTTAGGTCAGAAACTGTCAATCATCACAATCTTATCATTAAGTCTTATCAGTTTTAGCCTCGCTTTAATCTAAGCGAGGCTAAAACAGTTTTTTTCTAAATATGTGATAGAATTTCACGTTTGTTTGTTTTTTTGTTTTGTTTTTTTTTTGTTTTTAATTTATTTCAGTTTACAATTATTTTTTTTTTGCAAACTTTAAGTTTTTAGTTTAGTTTTGGTTAGTTATAACAATATTTCCACAACATAGTTGTTTGGACAAAGGCCCAGATGTTGGTGCAGAGACTTAAAAATTATAACGCTTTACAGTAAATGTTTATTAAAAACTGCTTTTTGTTTCTCCTCAGACGTCGAAAGTAAAGATGGGTGACTAGAATGTGCATTCAAACGCTGAGAAGACAGACGCACTGCTGGAACAAAACAAAAAAGATCGATTATTGTGTAAATACATCGTAAATTATTTAAATGTCTCTATTTGCCTGGTATTTTTTTAACTAACATCCATACAAGAGTTGGTACATCCATGCCCTGCTCTTAATTCTTAAGGGAAGAAGGAAAGTTGAAGAAAACAGCATATTTTGCATTTCATACCTTTTTTTTTTTTTTTTTTTTTTTTTTTTTTAAAAGAAAGAAAAATGAGCGAACTCTGTGATGATTTAGCCTGATGAGCAGTAGAAGTAAACGGGGCAGTCTGAAGAGCGGCTAGACGGACAGATTCACTCTGCATTTAAGGAGAGGTTTACACCGATAACTGTTTAATTTGCATCATTTTTATCTGACCGCTCTTGTTGAATGGTAGTTAAAAATTAGACTGGAGTATTTGAAAAACTGTGTGTGTGTGTGTGTGTGTGTGTGTGCGCGCGCGCAGCACATGTGATCTTTTTTTCCTGTGAAGCATGAGGATGTTTGTCATTGTGTTTGTTGCCTGGTCTGTCAGATCTGTTTCTTTTTTTTTTAAATCTGTTCTTTGCTGATAGGCTGATGGTCCTAACCCACACAGCAGCCATAATACAGTATTTATCAGGCTTCCTGCTCACTAAGGTCGGGTGGCTCAATGGGAGGTCAAATTTGGTCAAATCACATATAGATTTCCTGCAGTCTTTAAAAATGTAATGTTGAGTCTTGCGGTCGTATCCGGCAGCCAGAACTTCCCAATTGACTTCACTTTTATTAGAGTCGTGATCCTTTCCTGTAGTTGTAGGATATAGTGTTTGCTTGAAGTAAAACAAAAGAAGAAGCTTATTGCTGTCCTAGTCAGTTACTAGAAAGGAAAGTAAAATCTTTACCACCATTAATACCTGGTTTTACCTTTTCTTGTTGTATTACTGTCATTTAACAAGGGTCCAAATCTCTGACTCTGTTATATTTGCTGATTCATAATAATAAAACATCCAAATTTTGCAGCCAAATCTTCGTTTCATTGAAACTTTTTTTTTTGAATGTTAGTTTTGTCTTGTGTGAAAATGTCAACTCTTCTCATTTATGTTCAACATTCCTTAAAGTTTCATTCATTTATGTTTTAAATCTCAGTTGTCTGTGGGTAGATGTTGAAAAGCAGCCTTTTGGGTGGTGTAAATGATTATTTTCTAAGCTACCAGTAACATAAAATTGAGTTTAGCCTAAAATGAGAAAATGCTGTAATGGTGGTGTGTGTGTGTGTGTGTGTGTGTGTGTGTGTAAACATAGCTTGAAAACGTCTTATAGTTTTGATCATCATTCCACAGAGCTGACAGACCACGGCTTTTTTGTGAATTGTCCTGTTTTTGGTTTTGGTTTCTTGAAATTTTCCCTCCACATACTCAAGAGTTCAAACACTGAAGTCTGGCCTCACAAAGGTGTCGGAGCAGTGAGATGGTCTTTGCTCTCATAAATGATAATAATCAGATGTGACTCCAAGATGCCTTTGGAGAACCAGGCTGTGTACCAAACCCTGGGCTTTCAGTGACTGTAGGTGGTACTGTGTGTACATTATGTTGATGTGATGGTGACTTGGAAAATAATTCAGTTTTCAAAATTGTGTATAATAAAAACAGAATCTGATTTTTGTTTCTGCCTTCATAAATGTCCTTGAGGAAAATAAAATGAATCAATCAAGATCTCTGATGGCTTTTTCTGTGTTTGTCTTCATTAAATGTGAGCATATTGTCACCCAGGCCAATGAAAAGGCGCTTTACTCTTTGCAGTTTGTACTTGTTTCCACTAGATGGCTCTGAAATCCACAGCATCTGCCTTGATAAAACAGCTGCTGAAAACTTTCTTGAGGAAATAGTTTTTTTTGTCCTGTTAACGTCTCTGCTAAACATTAATATCCATCTTTCAGTTTGCGCAGTTGAAGAATAATGATTTCATCACAATGAAAGCCCTACAACCGTGGCGTAATATACTGTAATGTTTTAAACTTACAATCAGTTTGCTGACCTCTAAAATGTGCCCATCAAAGCTGATTTTGAAAATCTTCTCGGTAGTCTACCTCTGTTCCTGACATCTTCATCATCAACATATTTTGTCCAGTATATCCAATATCTCTCCCCAGCACATGTCCAAACCATCTCAGCTGTAAAAATGCCACCAAAGTCAAAAATAAATAAACAAAATAAAGCACGATTACAAGTATGTAGCAACATTTTAAATAGATCATGTGGTCAATTAAAGTGTTTGAACACCACAATTTAAGTGTCAAAAAGAAGTAAAAGTGAAAAAATAGAGAGAAAAAACAAACAAACAACAACAAAGCAACCCATTAAACTTTGGATGTTTAGAGTTAAAGATAATCTTGTAAAAGGTCTCAATTAGGCTAAACGCAAGTGGGGCGGAGTTAGCCTGCCTGTAATTGTCTAGCCTTTACAGCACTTTATTTTGTTCTATTTAAAGCTTGGATTTACCAATATTTATACGGTCATACCGAACTTGTAGAAAATGGGTTTAAAAGAAATTTAAAGAGATTTTAAAAATATATTATTATTTTTACTTTAAGTATCTGTCTCTCTGTAAATTTAAATGTAGACTTTATCACTTTTTTGAGCTTCCCTTGTATTGGGTATCGTTCAAAAAAATCTTACAATTATTATTTTGCTCATGACTGCAGCATACTAATAATAATAGCTGGCAAAAGCTGGATACTAAATTATCAGCTCGCCTTGTATCAGGAAAAAAAAGCGAAGGAAAATCCGGAGCGCGCAGGCTTCCGTAGGCAGCAGGAGCGAAAGGACCTGCTTGCTGCCACATCCTGAGAGCATCCTTTCTCTGCTTTCTTAACATCATCATCAAAACACAGCGGGATGACGGGAAATCACGAGCAGAGCATCTCTCTTCTTCCCGGTTTGCGGTAGAATATCGTCAGCGCTTGCGTTAACGTTTGACTAGCGTAATGCTACAACATGAAGCTTTTTCCCTGATGAAGAGCAGACATAATAGCCAGTCTGTGGGAAAACAGTGTAGTTATCCCGAGCAGAGTCGAGCTGAGCTTCTAGCTTTTTGTGTTTTCTTTTGTCCCCCAGATTTTTCAAACTAAATGCTTATTGAGAGTTTAAAAAAATATTTTTTATTATTTTTTCTCTCTCCCTCGGATGATGTGAACAGTTTGTAGTGCTCCAGCAGAGAAGATGCACAGATACAAGTATCCGCCTGACAACATCAAGGTAGGTGCTCCATCTGCTTTCTGGGATGCATTGTTTCATAAAGCATCGTACACACGCTTTTTCCTTTGTTGCTATTTGCACACTTAATTCCGCATAATTCCTGCAGCTTTTCAACATTTCACTGAGTTTGTGGATATTGTGGAAATATTCTCGCAATGCAATGCTCCTTACCCCTCTTTTGTTATCATGCACATTCCCACAAACCAGAAGCATCTTTACACCCGCCATACTAGGCTTCATTGAGCCTCCCATCACTGATCTTCTACAGTAAATGAACCATCTCAGCATACAGCATTCCTGTTTAGTTGGATGGGCTCCGGAGCTCTAAAAATCCACTCTGAAAGTGCAATTTTTCGCAGAATTGCTGGTGCTGTTATAATAACATTTCCTGCACTGGCAGCGTTACACTAGGGGAATGTGAGTGAGGAAGAGGAGGAGGGGGTGTCTTCATAGCTTAACTAGGCGTTTTACACAGAAGCACTGGACCTAGATTGTAATCCAGTCTGACATCTCTCTCATGTATGACACGGTGTCACTTTAGTGCTGCTGTTACAGACCGTATACTAGCCAATGAAGTACAAGTACCACAACTGCAGTATTTGTACTTTTTAGTACTTGTTTTGGTGCTGTATATTTAGGCTTTAGAAGTACTTATTTTTAAATCATGTTCAGTTTAGTGTACAAGTAACACATATACTTGACCTCAGGGCTATTTTCATTAATTAATCTGCTATTTTATTCTTGGATAAACAACACGTTAAAATGTCAGAACGAAGTTAGATTTGTCAGCCATGATTTCTTCACACCCAAAGTGCTGTTACATAATAAACATAATGTCTACTGAGTAAATAATTTACAAATATTTTATGTGTTATATTTTAAAAGAAAGCTTGAAAGTCACGTCATGCAGACAGTTTCCGCAAAGCTGTTTTGGCGGAGCACTTGTATACAGGGAGTGCAGAATTATTAGGCAAATGAGTATTTTGTCCACATCATCCTCTTCATGCATGTTGTCTTACTCCAAGCTGTATAGGCTCGAAAGCCTACTACCAATTAAGCATATTAGGTGATGTGCATCTCTGTAATGAGAAGGGGTGTGGTCTAATGACATCAACACCCTATATCAGGTGTGCATAATTATTAGGCAACTGTCCTTTCCTTTGGCAAAATGGGTCAAAAGAAGGACTTGACAGGCTCAGAAAAGTCAAAAATAGTGAGATATCTTGCAGAGGGATGCAGCAGTCTCAAAATTGCAAAGCTTCTGAAGCGTGATCATCGAACAATCAAGCGTTTCATTCAAAATAGTCAACAGGGTCGCAAGAAGCGTGTGGAAAAACCAAGGCGCAAAATAACTGCCCATGAACTGAGAAAAGTCAAGCGTGCAGCTGCCAAGATGCCACTTGCCACCAGTTTGGCCATATTTCAGAGCTGCAACATCACTGGAGTGCCCAAAAGCACAAGGTGTGCAATACTCAGAGACATGGCCAAGGTAAGAAAGGCTGAAAGACGACCACCACTGAACAAGACACACAAGCTGAAACGTCAAGACTGGGCCAAGAAATATCTCAAGACTGGTTTTTCTAAGGTTTTATGGACTGATGAAATGAGAGTGAGTCTTGATGGGCCAGATGGATGGGCCCGTGGCTGGATTGGTAAAGGGCAGAGAGCTCCAGTCCGACTCAGACGCCAGCAAGGTGGAGGTGGAGTACTGGTTTGGGCTGGTATCATCAAAGATGAGCTTGTGGGGCCTTTTCGGGTTGAGGATGGAGTCAAGCTCAACTCCCAGTCCTACTGCCAGTTTCTGGAAGACACCTTCTTCAAGCAGTGGTACAGGAAGAAGTCTGCATCCTTCAAGAAAAACATGATTTTCATGCAGGACAATGCTCCATCACACGCGTCCAAGTACTCCACAGCGTGGCTGGCAAGAAAGGGTATAAAAGAAGAAAAACTAATGACATGGCCTCC